ACAACTTGTGCAAGATGTCAAAAAACTAATGCTGCAGCACTGGCAATATGTAAGATCATGTCAATCCTTCAACCTCATCCCCATAACCTAGACAGGGCCAAGGACACCATAACCTACATGTCAACTACAAACTTTTGTAGTCTCAAAAAGCGGACACTACAAACTTTTGTAGTCTAAAAAAGCGGACACTACACACTTTTTCAAATGAAAAAGCAGACACTACAAACTTTTCCAATAAAAAAGCGGACACTACAAACTTTTGTAGTCTAAAAAGCAGACACTACAAACTTTTCTGCATGATGATCAGCAATGAGCCCTAATTTTTCCTGATTTTATTGCTATTTTACATTTGGAAATGCACCCTGGACCCTGAAAGGTCAGCTGCTGCTAAAAATGAAATATTCATTGAAAGCGCCAGGTACACATATGAAAAGTGCAATGAAATATCCTGGGGTTAGCAATGAAATATCCAATGAAAGCACCAGGTATATCTATGAAAAGTGCAATGAAATATCCATTGAAAGTGCCAGGCATTCAGATGAAAAGCACAATAAAATATTCTGGGGCTAACAATGAAATATCCAATGAAAGCGGCAGATATATATATGAAAACTCCAATGAAATGTCCTGGAGCTAAGAATGAAATATTCATTGAAAGCGCCAGGCTTTCATATGAAAAGCAAAATGAGATATCCAGAGATAATGAATGAAATATTGCAGGAAATTGCAATACAATATTTATGAGATCACTTAGGCCATTTAATGAAAAAACCAAATGAAATACACAGGGAACTTAATGAATGAAAATACTAGACAAAATAATGAGTTGTCTCATTGAGCCTGTAGGCATTATACAGATCGCCTTCCAGGCATGTGTCTGGTTTTTATCATAAGAGTGTATACCACTAGTGGGAGGTGAACATCCCATTCAGAAGCAGAGAGCGTCCACCAAGCCAGGAAGCCAAGGTAGTCCACCAAGCCAGGAAGCCAAGGTAGTCCAACACTTGCCTTTTCACGTTCGCTCTGAAGTTTTCAAGTAATTGAATGGAGTTGAAAGGTCTCTCCAGCTGTGAGAAGGCGTAAAGGCCTGGCCTCACCGCTCTAGCTGGGAAAATGGATGACTTAGCTATAGCCACCACATAAGACTCAAATTGTCGAAGATCGGTCTCCATCTCCACTAGTAGCGGTGGAAAAATGGCATATCGAGGCAAAATTGACTCTGGATTGGACAGCATGCCCTGATCCATCTGGTAGTACCACTCCCTTGACATTCCAGAGGGCAATGGTAGAAAGAGGTGCCAGCTGGCTTCGGGGTCATACCAATCCGCATCCAGAGCCACTCCATCTCCAGATTAAGGCCTGTTGGTCCCTTATCCCTGAATCCATCCACTATCCACTGGTTGCTTTGGTAATTGAAATAAGCAGGGGCTTCTGAGGGGATTTTGTCGCAGGGGGCGTTAAGACCTACCGAGAGATTGCCTCTGATCAATCTGAAATCGACTTGAGGTATGAGGCCAGTATTGTCCAAAGGAAGAAAGTCCATAACTCATGGTCTGAAACGGAAATCCGTAAAAGACTTGAGTAACAAGCCTAGCAGCTAGAGCAGGAAATCCAGTGCTCTCGCGTAGCTCGACTGTGGAGTGATAATAAAGAAGAAGGGGAATAGATGAAAGACAAAAAGAGATCTGGGCCTGCTGACTAATAAATATCTGTGGAATGGCTGTGAGCTCAGCACTTATTCACAAATTGTGCTTCTTCTTGTACTCATTCAGTACAATAGAGGCATTCCGTAGGCTTCTCTCTGGCTCCCAAGTGTTGAACTGCAGGCCATAGCCTGACCAACGCACCAGGAACTGGAGTGCATTTCATTTGCGGCAATGTCTTCCAATCGCTTCAACTTCGAATTCCTCAGATTTGGTTTGTGTTCTGCGTGATTCGGGCATTTGGGTACGTTTGCCCCATTCTGGTCCTGATTCCTCATATTTTTTCAAATGCTCAATGTTAAAGACTGGAAAGCCTGGGTATTTGTTGCTCATGCGTAGGCGGAAAACTTTCGGATTAATTCTTTGTGTAATTTCGAATGGGCCTATCCATCATTGTTTCAATTTAGTTCTGTTTCCTTTTGCATCGACCCAGTCAAGAGAGTGCGGATTTACAAGAACTCTGTCTCCTTTCCAGTACTTTACCCTCCCCCATGAGTTCCGGCGAACTCCAGCGGACTCCCATAGAATGTCGGAATTCCATCCAGAGTCTGCTGGAATGGTAGAAATCTCAAATTCCAGTGATTCCGCCAGATTCTGAATGAAATTGAAGCCAGAAATTCAAAGCTCCTT